AAAAAAAAAAAAAAGCAGGTAAACAGGCAACAGACATAGACACAAAAAAGAACACCGATTGCCAAAACTGTGTTTACGTTATCGATAAGTTTCATACAATGATGAATAAATAATGCTTTTTAAAGCGTGCCAAGACAAAAAAAAAAAAACGTAAGCCGCTACACAGATAGATGAGACCAATAAAATCAAATATGCTGTCACAAGTATACAAAGCTGTTTTGCTGTCACTACAACCCCAAACTGTCTTTGCTACTATCTAATCTGCAGGGTTTAAAAATTACAAACAGAAACATTAATTTAAAAATCTCAATAAACAGTTAGCCAATTATTCAGTTTCACCATAGCGTAATAATCGACAAAAAAGAAAAAAATTCTGATAAAACATACAGACTGCGCTATATCCAAAATTCCTTTTAAAGAACTACTGTATCCTTTCTGCTATTTGACCTTTAATACATGGTAGCAGCAATAAAATACTAAACTGAGCCAACAAGTGTCACCGAACTGCTGTAGTTTGATAGAATCAATCAAAAATGGTTGAACCAATGCACAGCAGCGCTGTTATCTGCCCTCAGTTGAGCTACACAATTTTCGCCATCTACAAAATTCTCTCGCTGCTGTCCACCCAACATATAACCTTCTTCTTTGCAGCAAGAAAGCTAATTTGATATTGAAAAGAGTTTTTTCTAGCTTCATTTCTCTAATCAGAAAAGTTTCTCTTTTCAAAAAAAAATATATTTTTTTTCATTTTTATATTACCTTTTATCAACATCTGTAACAAAAACTCATTGCTTTTATCGCAACAATTTGCATACTAAACAAACGGAGAACTATCAGTCGAAAAAAAAAAATCATCATTTAGTTTGTAGTGAAAATTGTTATTGATAATAAATCGCTGGAGACAAGAAGACGAAAATGTTCACCAAATGCTGACAGCAACAATAAACATTATTTAGTGTTCATCGATTGATTGATCTTCAAACTTCCCAACTAAACTTCTTCAAACCTATACAGTTAGCTAGCATTAATACATCGTCTTACTGATTTTTCCAAATACACCTTTCAATTTCTCCTCTATCTTAAAATATTCAACAAATTTTCAATCACCAGAGAAATTCTGTTACACAAGGAAATATATAATTACATATGTGTATAAATAAATATATATATATATATATATGTATATATTT